AACATGTCACCATTGAAGAACATGAAGACAATGAATTCGAAGACAAACAAACGCACGCCACCTCAGATTCTCCTCTCTGATTCGACAAACTCCGACAATCGCAACGAACGAAATCATCGAAACGAATTGGACAAAACGATATCACATATATAAAGGACACTTTATGGGTGTGTATGTATAGGCGTGCGTATAGACAGAGTTATATTTAACTTCAGGTGTATTGAAAGTTACAGTAAGGAAATATAACAAAAAAATTTCTCATGCTTTCTCTCACTTTCTCTCTCAATTGCTCTCGATTTGTTACTCCTGATATGGTATCAGAGCGAATCTTCGCTTCCTGATCTGTTTCTTCATTGTTCTTCGATCGTTCTCTTTGTTTCCTGGTATATGTAGATGACATTGTCATCGCGAGTAATGACAATGATGTTGTCTCTGCTTTGAAATTGTTGTTGCAGAATCATTTTAACATCAAGGACTTAGGTCAGCTCAAGTACTTCCTGGGATTGGAAATTGCTCGAACATCTCAGGGAATTTCGATTTGCCAGAGGAAATACTGCTTGGATTTGCTGTCTGAAACTGGTTTAACTGGGTGTAAACCTGTTTCTGTCCCAATGGATCCAAATTCTCATCTAAGTCAGGAATCTGGTACTCTACTGGAGGATCAGACTTCTTACAGAGCTTTGGTTGGCAAGTTGTTGTACTTGACAATTACAAGACCTGACATTACACATTCCGTTCATACGCTTAGTCAATTTTTGTCATGACCGACTGACAAACATTTACAAGCTGCGAACAGGGTGGTTCGGTATCTGAAAGGGAATCCTGGACAGGGGTTGTTCTATTCTTCTACTTCAGATTTGAAGTTACACGCCTTTGTCGACGCTGATTGGGCAACTTGTCCAGATACACGACGATCAGTGACGAGATTTTGTATCTTCCTTGGTAAATCTCTGATATCTTGGAAGTCAAAGAAACAAAACACTGTTTCGAGAAGCAGCACAGAGGCTGAGTACCGAGCATTAGCAAATACATCTTGCGAGATTACTTGGCTTGTGAATCTGTTGAAAGATTTGGAGGTTGAAGTGCCATTGTCCATAAACTTGTTCTGTGATAATAAATCGGCGATGCATCTAGCTTCAAATGCCGTTTTTCATGAGAGAACTAAACACATAGAATTGGATTGTCATCTGATTCGAGATAAGGTTCAGACAGGTTTGATCAAGCTGATGCATGTGAAGTCTGATAGTCAGTTGGCAGATTTTCTGACAAAGTCGTTACAGCCTGTGGTGTTTCATGCAATGCTTGGTCGTTTATCTGTCTCAAGTCTATATTTTCCTGATGAAAATTATAGACTTGAGGGGGGTGTATCACATATATAAAAGACACTTTATGGGCGTGTATGTATAGGCGTGCGTATAGACAGAGTTATATTTAACTTCAGGTGTATTGAAAGTTACAGTAAGGAAATATAACAGAAATCTTTCTCATGCTTTCTCTCACTTTCTCTCTCATTTTCTCTCTCAACTGCTCTCAATTTGTTACTCCTGATAAACGAATAAACTAGGTCAAAGATACATACCAGCGATCAATGGTTGCGCGCGGGAGGAAGGAGGTCTGATTTCAGAACTTTTGTTTCAAATGAGAGGCACGGTAACAAACATATATATATATATATATATTTTATAATATTAATTCAAAAATATTGGGGACCACGTCAACACGTGTCCTTCTCTCCCTAGTAGTCAGGTCGGGTAAACCCCTGAGTCGCAAGAATGTGTGACTGATTTTGTATTCTCTATGCAACGTTTATTATGTTTTCACAGTCTCCTTTTTTTTTTTTTTTTGAAGAAACTAAATTAAACCATGAGGTAAGTTAACTCTAAAATTCAAACGAAAAATAGTCAAAAGACCAATAAAAATGGATATACGTCAAAGCCTTTCGTTGGAACAAAATGACGCCGTAAGCTAAAACTTCACGGGCTAAGAGCCCAATAACGCGGCCCATACAGCAGGTGACAAACGGCGTATTTATTTATTTTTTTTTGTTAAAACGTATTTAATATTTTACCTACAAATAGGAACTCTATAATGTTTTGGAATTAATATAATTGTATGTTTGGATGAGAAGTATTGAGTCATTGACAATAAATAACAATAAACTTAATATATATATAAAAGTGAATGAGGAAAAAATATAAATCATGCCTTTTGGATTTGGACATTCCGTAAGCAAAGATCTTTTGACCATATTCCGGCATAGACGGAATATAAGTATTCCTAGTAATTTTGTATGGAACGTCCAATTCAATTCATGTTTCGACTTTGTAAGACGACCATTTCTTCTCACCCGCCGTCTTTTCATCAACACCAAGTAACATTTTTTGTTTATGAAAAAAAAAAAGAGTTAATGGCCTGTGATTAGTCGTTATTAACAATTCGTATGGTTTATCAGTTGCACTTGCTTTACAAATTGTCACAATTAATTATTCATTTATTCACCGTTGTTGATTGACGAGTGTTCACAATTATTGACTTCAATAAATTATATACATCGCCGGTTTATTACGTAATTATTCGCGGTCCCTTTTTTTTTTTTTTTAACTCGAGTGTTCGTGTCCGGGGCATGGGAGAGAAGAAAATCATTACACACACCCAAATCTTTTATACGATGCGGATCAATGTCTGGAGAACCAAAGGGCGCCACGTGGCAGAAATGTCATCGCTCATTCGTGGGCCGGGCCCATTTGAACGGAGCCTCGTCGGTTGAAAACGACATCGTTTAAACGGACAGTAGCTGTACAACAGAGGGGCGGAGGAGCCGCTGACGGAGGGAGAGTCTTTCTTACCCTCTCCCCCGTTCTTTCCTTCTTGGTCGCGCGCCTCTCTCCGAAAGGCGGCGTTTGGGAGATGCGAAGGACCCCATGACTCCGTATTGATGATATTTCCCTGAAACTCCGTCTCACCAGACCCGAGAACATGCAGTCTCGCCTTGTCGAGGACGGCTTCAGACAGAACCACACCCTAAATCCCGTAATTATTTGTCTTTTAATCTCTTCTTAATCTCCGCTAATCAACCGATCCTCGTGCGTATTAAACACTCTCACTCTTGCTACTGATAACTATGGTTAGTCGTATTTAAGTTGCTTATAGTATAACTTTCTTCTATATTTGCTATAGATATATAAAAGGATTCCTTTTAACTAAATGTAATTTCCAGAAAATTATGAACGATTGAATAGCTTGTTGTTTTTTATTTATTTACGAAAGATCAACACCGTTTAATTATCCGTATAGAAAAAATATGGATAATACAAAGTGTTTACTGAGTTTCATAAAATAAATAAAAAAGATAGTTTTTTTTTTGTTAAAAAATAAAAAAGATAGTTCACTGAAAGAGTTTTTCGTTTGTTTGTTGTAACATTAGATTTCTAATACGTATATATATTCAGTCGATCGTTAGTGTATACTCAATCATATTGGTTACAACCAATTTTTTTTTGTTTTTATAATTCGGAAAATGATGGGGCCTCCTTCGTTTCAACGATCACGTGAATGTCTATCCCTGGAAACTCGAACCCCGGTTACAACCAAATTTTATAATTCATGAAAGACGAAATCCAACCACTAAATTCTCATGTATCTTATATTCTAATTAATTCTTTTTTTTTATATATAAAAAATGGGAGATCGAGGGAGACGACGTGGGAGTATTGTGTTGAATGTGGCGGTGGCATTCATTTTCCACAAAGGCAAAGGATAATAATGTTTCTGCGTACATTTTTAACCAAAAACATCGAACATTTTTTTTGTTAGGCGCACGTCTTTTTCACTACCCCCTTTTCCAATAGCTTTCAATCTCTCTCTCTCTCTACATACATATACATATATATTTATATATTGACATCCATTTTCACACAAAAATATCAAAAATTCTTTTGAAATATGCTTTGCATTGTTCGACCCGTAAATGCCAATATCAGAATTTTGGGCTACGAATCATCCTCAATATATAAAAAAAAATAATATTATAAAACTGTTAATATCTATATTGCTATGTTTGCCAGAGATTGTAAACCATTCAAGAGTTAAACGACCTTACCGAGTTTATTAAATATCTCATGTTCTTAAATAAAAACACAACAAAATTTATTTGTAGTATACTTCCAATTATACGGTCTTCCAATAATTCATAAACAATAATGCTACCAAAAAACAAAAACAGATCCAGCCCTTATTTTCTTTTTAAATATTTAATTCCAATAATAAACTCACCATTCAAGAGAATGTCTGATGGCCCATAAGATCAAAAGGAAAAGAAACAGTACAGAAGACGAGCACCATTCCGTCCATATTTTTATTTGCGGAATTTATATTAAAATTAAATATTTGGCACGAACGCATATCATAAAATGGGTCACAAGCGGTCCGGCCCATTATAATAATAAGCCCAAGAAATTTGTTGTAAAGGGTTCTTCTGTGCGTTGATTAGGTAACCGCACGGATGCATGTCACATGTCTCGAACGAATAACGATATTACATGTAATTAAACTACAGATTATGAAACAGCGAAACAAATAGTTAGTGAGAAATATATGCACAACGGAGACTGAAGAATAAAAATAAAAATGAGGATTTGTTTTATTTTTGTTGGAATGTGAATGAGATTTATTTACTTTACCTCTCAGTAACATCATAAACATCGTACCATGAACACATCAATCATGAATACGGGTAGAGATATAATTATAAAATCCGATCTTTATGTATACAGTGTGTGTATATATACACACTCCAATAACGAGAGATAATTGGTTTTATAATCAGATATTATATACACATATATATATACATACACGTGGCGATGACATATCAGAAAAAAAAAAGTACAGAGAAAAAACAGCCATGCAAAAGAGATTTGGCTATAAAAAGGGGAGACGGAGCCAATGATACGATGCATAATAGCCTTTGCTTTTCCTTTTGACCTCTCTTGCAACTCAAGTAAACCTCTTTCATCATTTTCTCTCAGCACTGAAACTCAAAGTTTCATTTCCATCAATCCCTCAAATTCAATTTCATATATATATTTCAATTTTTATATTTCCACCCCCCAAGAAAAAAAAGTCATTTTGGACCAATAAGGTCGATCGGTTCCTACACAATGGGGTACTGCTGCAACGACGACCTCATCAAACCTCTTTCCATCCCCATAAACTGCACTTCCCAACCTCTTAATCAAAACCATTGTACTGATTCCGACATCTCTCTATCTTGTATTTCTCTCTTTTTTTTTTAAAAAAAAATGTTGTTTCCTTTCTCTTACCGTATTGCGCTGTCTGTATGATTCATGTGATTATGATATACTTAACGATTATTTTTTTTTTCAGTGAAACATATGGCGATCGAGACTATATTACTAACAGCTAAATGGGTTTTTATTTTTTTTTCTCGTGCATTCGCAGGCAGCAATACAGAAGAAAGGAATAATAAAGAGGGGGATGGAAAAGGTACGAGGAAGACGGGAAGTTCAAGGTGGAACCCGACACGTGAGCAAGTAATGGCGCTAGAGGAGCTTTACCGAGGGGGAACACGAACACCGACCACGGAACAGATCCAAGTGATAGCATCTAAGCTCCGAGAGTTTGGGAGGATTGAGGGCAAAAACGTCTTCTACTGGTTCCAGAATCATAAGGCTCGAGAAAGGCATAAACGCTGTCGGCTTGAAGCAGATGTTAATAAGAACCCTAATGAACACCAACATCACCTTGCTGCGGATAACAAGGTTTTATCAGGTAACTAATTAGTAATTAGTGATCCCATCATATACTTTTAGTTAGTTTTTATATATGATCACGAACATATATAATATATCTGTACATGTGTGTGTGTGTGTGTGATATGGAACACGTGTATTTACCAATTAACCTTGATGACATATATGCTTAATAATACTGGACACAGTGATATATCAAAACTAGCTAATAACAAATATAAAAGACTAGAAGTTTCTACAAATCTTCGAAAGATTTTAATTGTGATCATGCATGAATCACTCGTTACAAACGAGAAAAACATATACATATATATATATATAAATATTATTCATATTTTTTTTCTATCTGTTTATGTAAAGCACGTATATAGTAGCTGTGCATGCTAGGTTCTGTTCTGAGATATTGGTTGACGTGGTTAATAGTATTGAGAAGGACAGGCGGTCACAAAGTGGAGCAGACAAAGAGCTGCCAATCTTCTACAGCCTCTCAGGTATACATATACACACACACATATATGGCAGTGTATGTATATGTGACTATATAATTCTGGGTGGATTTTGGCCTTGTTTTGGAACATTGTGAACGTTGGCACGACAATGGTAATAAATCCTAGTAACGTTATTTAAGCGGTATATAAAAAGTAACCCACATAATCCCTGATAAATATAACCCATACGCATGTACACATATATGTGTATTTATTAATTTATACATATGTATGTATGAATGTATTTATAATACGTAAAGAGTATACATATACATATGTATGGAAAGTCGAGCAAGAGAAGCAAAGAATTCAGGGAGGGGGCAATGGAAGCTTTTTTCATGATATGTTGGGAACAATAAGGCAAAAAAGAGGTCTTCAAAGGCTGCATGCTTTTTTCCCTCTCGCGTTCAGATTCTGAAAACATTTTTTTCTTAAAAAAAATAAAAGAAATGGTAACTTTTTTTAACCGGAAAGTTTATCAAAGAGTCAAGTTAGTTTATACGTATTTTCTCCCCTTCAGGATCTTGTTCCAGTGAATAATAAACAAAACAGCAATAGGAATGGGACGACAGAAAATTCTGAAAGGAGATCGGAGAGCCAAAAAGGCTCCACGTGGAAAATCCCCATGATCACGTCGGACACTTCACACTACAATAATCACCATGTGATCTTCACTTCAAAATTTCAAGAACCGGACCAACTCGGGAGCGAAGAAGAAAGGAGAGAAATCCGAACGCTGGATCTCTTCCCGGTTAACTTAACCGGAAACAAGGAGAAAACTGACGAAACCAAACCAGAAGGTTGTACCGGGACGAGAAAACCGAACGGTTTGAGGTGCAACTACTACTATTACGAGTTCATGCCTCTGAGGAGCTGAAGCCAATACCCATGTGGATCACAATAAATACGAGTTAATGTAAGTTTGAATGAAGATTTGTTGCTTTGTCGGAAAATGGGAAGTGGTGAGTAGTTGTGTTCGAGCTTTGGATGGGGACGTGTAGTAAATGTTGGGTTTTTAAGGTTACCGAAAGTGAAGTTGGACCATGTTTGGCTGTGCCTGAAACCTTTGATGGTTCGTTGTCTGTAAGGAATATATTAATATATGGATGGTGATTGCTGAAATATATTAATTGTAACTTTTTTTTTAATATGTAGGGTCGCGTTCTTGTTCTTATCTGCGGGTATATAGTGAGGGAGGATGTTGAGAGGGCATTGGATTTGGAATTGCAGCAGGGTTTTCCAAAAGATTCCAAGTTTTCTAAGATTCGCCATGAGTTTCGTGTTTTTGTTTTCTTGAAATATCTTTCATGTATAAATAAAATGGATGTGACAACAAACCGATTAATTTTCAAAGTTACATAGTCTGCTCTATTATATAACCATTTATATATATGGTTATTTTTTTTAAAAATAGTATAAACAATACGAGTATATATATATATATATATATATATCATATGCATAATAAGAAAAAGCTGTTTTACTTTATTGGTGGGGGAAAACAATAGGAGAGCAATGATATAGAAACAGAATGAGAGCATCACTCTTTGCCCATTCCCAACTTCTTGATGCGGCATTCAAAGCTAATATAGAGATAGATAGCAGAAGCCCTACCATTTTATGTTTACTACCCTCTTTTGAGAATTACCCACAGATCACACACACACAGAGAGAGAGAGAGAGAGAGAGAGAGAAGCAGAGTGGGTTCATCACTGAATGACTGATGCAGTGAGTAGAAGGATGGGTCTGTGTGGGCAAACAGAGTTTGTAAAAACCCGATTAGTGATCTTTGATAAATAGCTGCATTAGCCATTACTATTAGGCACCAACTCCAACACCAATGGTCCACTGCTCGACTCTTTAAATGACTCTCTCTCTCTCTCTCTCTCTCTCTGTTAATAAAGAGACAGAGACAGTTTGTCCCATTCCCAGTTTCTCTGTCACATATAAACAACACAACACAAAAACATCTCAGACATCTTTACAATCTGCTACTCTCCCAGTTGACTTACCTTCTGTGCTGCTTGTCCTATCCTCTTACCATTTCCTTCTATTAATCTATTCTATGTCCACTCATTATGGATCCGTTCTTATCTCCTATTGACTTTCTCTCTCTCTAATTACAGTCGAATGAACCCCAAAGTTGTTGCATTTAAGTTTCACATGAACTGATGAAGAAGATTAATCAATAAGTCAATTCCGGACATGAATCAACGAATGGAACAGACAGAGAAACCGAATCAGCAACTCATCAATCCTCTTCGGAATACATCCGACCTAAAACTTAGTCCATAGGAGTTATCATAAAGAGTACCGCATTTTTTTACAAAAAAAAAGAAAGAAAGGCGTAAATTACAACGGAGAAGGGAATCCTATTTCATTTTTATTGTATCCTACGAAGCAAAGGTTATTTCCTAGAATCTTTATAATATATGTTGAAAGTTTCCTCCAATTAAAGTGTTTATAATATCCTACAGGCTAAATGCATTTAACGAGGTGGGTGTTTATGGATTCATCTCTGTCAAGGACAGGAGCAGTAGACATTATATACAGACATTTGTTGATGACTATGATATTCTCATTTGTAACAACAACATCACATTAATCTCAATTAAAGTGTTATTTTTATTTTTGTTACAAATGTTCCAAATAAACTTGAGATTAGGACGATGTTGTTGTTACAAGAGAGATATCGTAATCATCAACAAATATCTATATATAATATCCAATGCTATGCTATGGTATACCTGTCTATAATATCTAGAAAAATTTTCATATTGCAATCCTCTTCTCCCGGAAGATGAATCCATTAACACCCAATTCAACTCGTTAAATGCCTGTTTTTTTAATCATATCAACAAATAATCACAACAACAATTCAGAGCACTGAACTTACTATTTTTTTTGGAGCATCACCATGAATGTAATTCCCCGGATGATTTTGTAGTATTACCTCTGGTTGGTTCAGCGGTTTATGCATCAAGGTGCATCTTGAAGCTCCCTTTATATACATCTGAAACAGTTGTAGCAACCTCAGAAACTCCATTCTTGATCTTTGAGATCTGCGTGTCCATGTACTCTTTTTGTTTGGACACCGAGTCGATACGTGCAAGGAGTTGGGCGGCACAAGCTTGGACCTCCTCCTCACTCTTTTGAACTGCTTCTTGCAATCTCAGTTCAGATGCCTTTAGCACCTCAGCAGCTTCTTTCTCCACAACATCCAAATTAAGAGACTCCTTTCGGATAGTTTCAACCATCACTTTTGCCTCAGCATCACATTTTGCTGAGAAGTCTTCTATTTCCTTTTTCACTGCATTTATCTTCTCTTCATTCTGAAAATGAAAAAGAGCAAAAGGCCTCAGGAACGCAGGAACAAACCAGCCATATTCAGGAAAACATAACTGCCCGTCTTCTAACTCAGGCTGTTCAGTAAAACCCAGGTGGCTTGATTGGATTATTGATGCCATAGTTTGATTTCTGGTTGCCCTTACAAAAACAGAATGGTGTTGACAGGTGGTCAAGCCAGACAGAGCAAAAGACGCTAACATCTAAAGCCAATGGCCAGGCCATCTGATGCAATGACAGTTTCATGTATGCAAACTACTCGAAAGTTCAAGGATGCGGTACTTACTTCATCAATCTGCGACTGAAGCGACGCAAGAAGGGTCTCTTTGTTTGTGATCTTAGAAGCAATTTCAGAGGATTGATGTTGAAGGCTGACCAGCTCCTCCAGCCTCCCCATGGAGTTCTTGTTTATCTCATCAGCAAAGGACATCAAAGCAGGCTTCACCATGTTTTTGTAGTCGACGCCCATCACCTCTGCAGGTGTTGACCCCTTCTCGTTTAAATTGTACTGGATGTTAATCTTCAATCTGTCCTCAACCGCACAAGAAAAACCGGTGCTAAATATGAGTACAATGGGAATATATCTACTTCATCTCCATGATTTACAGCCCAACACAACATCTCCCCCTTCCAATATGGTTTCTTCCAATAATATCAAATATATGATGTTGTCTTTTCACAGATGAATCAAGAGAGTAGATGTCAAGTGGTGGACTAACCTTCTGAAAGCTTGGTTGCAATCCATGGCAAGAGTCTGAAGCTCGTGCATTTGATTCCGGATCTGGGTGTTGAGTTCCCAAGCTTTCTGCTCCCAAGCGTCCCTGGCAACCTCAGCCTCGGCGATATCCCTATCATGCTTGCAACTCCCTTTTCATCCTCTCTGCGTCCCTTGCATTGAAACTCTGAAGCTCAACCCTCTTCTTCAGCCCTTCAATCCCCTCGCACACCCGCTGTCTCTCCCCCTGCTTGACATTTAGTTCCTTGTGTTTCTCTTCCAGAACTCTCTCGATCTCTGAATTCCGGGCAGTATATTCCCCGATGATGGTGCGGAACTTGTTGGCATCCCCTTCCAGGTCAGCCTTTACTTTCTCTAGAGCCTCCTTCTTAGATGGGCCTTTCCTCAGAGCCTCCAATTTAGCCTCCAACTCGGTGGCAGACTTCTCAGATGATGGTCTCCGCCACACTGCTCTTCTCCCCCTCCAGCTTCCCCAGAAAGTCAGCGTCCAAATCACCAACCAAGTCATCCTCGCCGCGAATGTAGTGGCGATAGCTGTCGACGGCGTAGGAATTCATGGAGTTGGCTTCGAGGAAGGAGGAGGAGTTGGAAGACAAGTGGTGGCGGCAGAGAGCAAGCTGGAACAACCAGTAGATGACAGCGAGAACAGAGGGCCAGTTGTGAGGGGTGTTGGGAGCACGGAGTGTAGATTTGGTGAGCTTGAAGGGGCAGTGAAGGGATTTGAGAAGGAAAACGAGAACGTCGTCCCATTTGCGAGCATCGCAGGGGAAATCGACGGCGTAGATGAGGAACTTTAGGGTTTCGGAGATATCCTGGAGGGAAGGGATGGGGTGAGTGCGGAGGGTGGGTGGGAAGGATTGGGAAGAGAGGAAAGCGTTGATGGCTCGAATCGCCGATGCCTGGTTAGATCTGTCGGAGTAGACATCTGAAGCAACGGAAGCTCGACCCATACCCACTGATGACGGACGGCTGCTCGCAAAGCTGACATCAGAAACTGGTGAGTTCCCTAGCTAGCGCTGCTCCACCGCCGCGTCCATCGCCGTACTCCGTCCGCCGCCTCTCATCTCTCTCTCCTCTCTATCGTCAGAAAAATGGATTTACAGAGAAAAGGCGATTCCCGCTCACCAGAGAAATTGTGGCACCAAATTTTCAAAATTCGAACGAAAATAACCACTTAGGTCTTGCAAAAATTCATCAAAAACAAAAAACAAAACCAGCCCCGTCACCAAAAGGCCCGTTAGATGCATTTTACTTTGAAATCAGTCCCCAGTGCCTTGAGAGATAGATCACCGATCAGAGAGACGGTCAACTCGACGCAAACACGCCGGTAAAACACGATTCCTCCGGGAGGAGAATACCGGCCATAAGATTTTCTGGAACAGGACGCCGAATTTCTCTAAAGGTTCCGAGTTTAATGGTGTGACGTTGGATTTTATGTTGCAGGGTTCCAATGTTAGGAATAGAAACCCTGTAGGTGGGACTCTTTACGGACATATTTTGGGCTTCATCTCGGCCCATTATGCAAATAAGCCTGGCCTAGAGTTCTATATATCAGGATTCATATTGGACCACTATGCAAATAAGCCTGGCCCATAGTTCTACCTCGGGTTCTAAATGACATTGAAACTCATCTCAAAATCCAGGATGACAGGTAATGTTGGACTTCCATTTACCTCAATGTTTTTTTGTAATGCATTCAGGTGGATTGCTGAATTAAAGGGCCTCTAGTAAATAAAACACTAACAAGATAGTTAGAGAGCAGGCATAAAATGGAGAGAGCAAAAAGACAAGGGCACCCCCCAAAATAGCAAATCAAAATGTTCTTACCTTTCCTTATTAGGGTTTACGTATAAAAATGGGGTGAGGGGTTGCAGGGTACAACATTTGGAGGAAAACCTCTTCCGTAGGATAGAACATACAAGGGAGGTCAAGCTAACGCGTGTGTGTATGTATGTATATATATTACTAAATTTAGGGGGTGTGGGGGGTAGGAATATGATGAGGGAGAGGGATGGGATCTTCTTCTGGATCTCTCTGTAAGGGGAAGGCCATAATTATATATGTAGAAAGAAATAAGTAGTAAGGGACAAAGGAAGAGGGGGGAAGGGGTCAGTGTCGCTTCCTCTGGTAAAGAGAGTAACCAACAAGCGCCGACATCAAGAACGTCCATAGCACCTAACACACACACAGACACTCATCACCATGCAAAATTATATACGTATATATATATATATATAGAGAGAGAGAGTAGATACGGTGTTGATGGTGTGCCAACGCTCTAGCCTTTTGATGCGGGACTCCATTTCCTCCACCACCCCTTCTAACGTCGAAGACGCTCTGTTTTTACTACTACTTGCCTGTTGTATTTTTCCATTTTTTGTCATCATCATCATCTTCTCATACAACTTTTTTATCAAACTAGTAGTAGTGGGTACCTGAGACTGAATGAAGTCCACCAGTTCCTGTAGCCTTGCCGCCTGTTGTGTATGTATTCCTGTCCAACTCCTATCTACGGGGGCCACTCTCTCCACTATTATTTGCAGATAACTCTGCCACCATTTTCACACACCATCATCATCATCATCATCATCATCATCATCATATGTCAGTCACTTCTCTCATTCCATTTTCATATTCACATATATCAAAACCCATAACCAAAGAAAAAGAAAGGAGATTCTTGGCTCGAACCTTTGTTGTGTATGAACCATCGAGTTTGAGAGCTGCACCTGCTGCCAACACTGCCTCTTTCTTCACCCCTTTTATCTGTATGTACGGACTCTGCACATCTTGCAGGTGATCCACCTCTATCAGCATCTACCAAAAAAATTTATAATAAAGTTTAATGGGTATTTTGAAACATCAAAATCTAAGCCTGCAATATTCAGAAATCAACGCATATTCACCTTCCCATCTTGATAGATGAAAGCAGATGCTTCTATATAAGCCACTGCTTGGTACCTGAATTAACCCCCCCCCCCCCCCAAAAATGGTATAGCCTCGGTAAGCTCTACAAGGCCGAGGGCTCTGTCTCATCGTTGCAAGAGGCCGCCGATTGTTTCCAGGCTGCTGCCCTGATCGAGGAATCTGCTCCTGTCGAGCCCTTCAGATGATGATTAGCTTTTCTTTTCCTTCTTTAAAAATGAAAAATATTGATTTTGATATGATTTCTCTGTGTATCCATAGATTGATACAAATATAGAGATGAACGTGTGCTCTCTTTTATGTCAAGTTCATAAACATTCTGACTCTGTATTACGACATGAACAATAATAAACAGTTTCAGCTTCTCTTTCAGGCTTTCAGCACCCCCCCCCCCCCCCAAAAAAAAAACATTCATATGGCCCTTTCTATAATTGTTTCAACTAATGAGGATTGCGTGAAAAACTAAAAAGAAATTCGACATGCTTCCTCACCCGAGATTAAGAAGACCCGCCACAGTACTTATGCTTATATCGAAATCTACTTTGGGCTGAATGATGAAGTTCCCTTCCCTAATTGGCTGATACATAAACAGGTTCAAGACATGAAAAAACTGATATCCTCTCATGAACTCAACGCACTACAGAAGAAGATAAGGGGGTACAGATTGACACAGACCTCACGTATAAGCAATGCGAACCTGCCCTCGCAAATCCTGACACGTATGCAGTCACTATCTGACAACTGACCATTCGCAGGGAGTCCAGAGAGCCTGAGATATATATCGATAAAATTCTGAACAGAACTGCAGAATTTTGTGGAATCGAGGATGCTGATAATATCCTGATAGGGAACCTATTAACACACGTAGACAATTGTGAGTATTTCATTAGAGAAAAGCAAGAAAGGAGAAAAATACAGAATGCGAAATTTTTTCCCTTACTTGTTTGTTGCTCTTCAATACGAACAGGGAACTTTCGGGAGAAAGCACGGGATCAAAATCATTTCGGATCTTGACCTATATCATTGGGAAATGCAACACAAAGTATTAAGGACACAGCCCACACAAAACCCAATTAATGTTTTAAAGCTCGTGATGAACTTTACCCCTTTTAAACTAGCTTGTGCAACGTGAGTAACTATAGGCATCTAATCTCATGCTAGGTGGACGTGGGATCATAATAATAAACTACAACTTGAGCTCCACGAATAGATGATGGATCACAAACAAGACCAAAATCTTAAGTCTCAAGAGTACTCACGTGTGCATGCACAAGATGTGGCTCGATATGCTGTTGAAACATAGGAAAAACGGTCATCATTATCTCATTCTGAGACATGAAACAACCGACCCGGCTTTTGTCTCTCTGGACCCTAGAGATAAGATGTGAATGAACACCTCCCACCTGATTTTTAGAGAGAAGAAGTTAAGCCAGTAAGCTCTTAGATATATGAGACAATAGGAATGGATAAGAAAGCACGCCGAAATAAAGATTGAGTAGAAATTTAACTTACAACAGCAACCCAAAGGTCAAGGGACTGCCGGATTTCGGGATGTAATGCATAAACACCCTCAAATATGATCTAGTCACCAATTTAACATGATAAACAATCAACTATTATGTAACATACTAACATATACATTATCAAAAAGTCCATATGAGTAGGATACGGTCACTGACCACACCGCACTCTTCAGGAACTTCAAGTTCCTTAAAGCCACATCTGGTGCCAGTTTCCAAATCAAAAACAGGAATTTTTGTTCTTCGCCCGTTCTTTAAGTCAGCAATGTTCTGCAGAGACGTGCCAACACATTTAAAATCACATAAACCTAAATCAAATACTGATAGATTACCCTTGTCCTTTTACGTTCTAAAACCAAAGTATTACCTTAGAAAGTAAAGGCAGATCAAGGGAACTAAAGTCGTCATGCTTATAATCTTTGAGTTGTTCGGACTTGAAGTAACTTTCCAGGGAAACCACTTCACAGCCAACGATATTTGCCATTTTATGAGCTAGGCTAGTCTTACCAGATCCACTTGGACCCCCTACAATAAGACCAGTGTCAATAGCATTGAAACGACTTTTAGGCTCTATTGAAATGCTGCGCAATATAATGAGGGAAGAAGCAATAGTACCTATTCCAACAATAACCGGAGGCCCTTTATTCTCTAATAATGCCTGAAACAATAATCATAAGCAAAGGAACTCTTGCTAGAAATAAAAAATGCATACACCATCACACAATCAGGTGCAAGAGAAAAGCTACTGTTTTTTAATGGAGAGAATTTCTTCTGATCATTTGTCTCCTCAGTACCTGTATTGCTTGAACAGAAAGAAGCAATCCTCTATCCAAGTCGTACGAATCAGGCATTGGAACAAGTCTTATCTCATCCCTGAAAGAGGAATCTGTGGCTGCTTCATGAGAAAGCCTAGACATAAAATGCAACGATAATGCTACTGTATGACATTCTATAAGAAAATAACAATCAAGCAGGGAAAATCAGAAGGAAAAAAAATCCAAATTAAGATGGACATACCTACAACAGAGCTTACAGAACATGGTGCATCAGATGAGGTGAAATGCCAAGTTGCAACCACTGGTTCCATTTGGGATTTGGTAGGAGATCGAGTCCAAGGCTGAGATAAATCCTCAAGGCGGGTAACAATGTTACGAGTAGTGCGGATTGGCTTTGGTGCAACAATTTGTTTTTCCGGATTAGCAGCTGCAGGGGAAGGATGCAAAAGTGGCGGTGTATTCAAGCGTGGTACACCTGCAACAAGGGTTAGCTTGCAGAATTAAAGATTGTACTATATTCCACAAGACATGTTACGCCATTGAAACTAAATATTGAGTTCCAACACTAAAATTCCCAGACCTTTCCTCTCAAGAATCAGTTCCAGATATGATTTGGTGATCCATGGTCCATTAATACTCCTCTTCAAAGCTTCAGCTCCAACAATCTATATACAGAAAGATATTAGCACATGAGCGAGAAAAAGAACCTTGAAATGGATGGTTTCTCACAACTGAAGAAGTAAAGAATAGTCATTGGTGCTTTACAGAACCCTTTTCTCTATTGAAGGTCCCATATGCTTGTTTTGAGAAAAGAAATATGAGCCATTACCTTCCTATTCGTCCCTCTCAGCACCAGGAATGTCTCTCCAAGAGTGTCAATCGTCTCAAATGACAGGGATAAATTACCATAAGTGACAGATGCTGAAGCACGCTTATAACTTACTACAACATTGTAGCCCAATGCTAGCAACCCTCCAAGTGTCATCCGTCCCACCTGCTATACTTCAGCAATTAGGACACAGAAAGATGGACTGCAAAAATTATCCTCCAAGGGATGTATGAAAGATAGTCACTGTCTTGACCAAATTTCAGAAACAGAGCCATGCTCTTTACTGAAGGAAAATACTGAACCAGAAACCATAATTAAGCATAGTTCTTCATCAACAATAAAAAAAATCACAAAATGTTATTTGAAACTTCAACAATGGCATGTGATACCTTACCTCAAACTCAGCTTTCGGGCGGATAATGAAATGCTTGTCGACAATCCTTTGATCTCCAAGTGACAGATAGTACCTTATACCAGCCTGACGAACTTTTATCCAATCATTTATTCGTGCCTCTTCACTTGCAGAAGGGGGTCTGAGGTACATCTCAATAAAACTGAAAGCAATGTCAAATGAACCAACTCATCATGCAAATGAAGATTTAAAGACATCCTGAACAATTCTCATGTATTTGCAGAGTCATGTCTTACTTATCCTTCTGCACGCCACCTCCTTGAAGAGCATACGAAGTTGCTGCATCCGTTGTCTATTATAGTAATGCGAGTTTTAATCAAGACATAGCATTATTAAAAAAATCAAGCCGAAGGCTACAAAAGACAGTGACCCGAAGGAATCACGGACCTCGCTTTTGCATTTCAACTTGTAGATGGCTTCTCGAAATGATGAGACGAAACTGTTATTGATTCTGATCTGCACAATTCCAACCACTGAAGAAGTCGAACCTCTTGAAATTTAAAAGGGCAGAAACACAGAAAACCCCACCTGTGCGTGATGAAGATCTGGCTCGATATGTTTTCTAAACAACGGGAATATGCTGTCAATAAGGTAATCAAGCGAACACGAGTCACCGATATCATAGCGCACTTTTGAGAGAAGGCTAAAATGAACGCCACCAACCTATTCATCAGACAAAGAGTTAAGGACAAGCATGTCCATTGTGCATACAATGCATAAGTTACACAGCTAGAACTATCTAGTAAATGCTGTAAGGAGAGAAACAGTACCACCGCAACACGAATATCCAGCAAGGAACGCAATCGTGCGTGAAGAGCATAAGTCCCATCAACAATCACCTAAAACAAAAGCAGAACCGAAAACCCATAACAGCCATAACAAAACCATGACCAAAATCACCTCCCTTGCTTACCACTCCAGATGACGTCTTCACGGTTTTCGAACCAACACGCCTCTTTTGTTGGAAATCAAACACTGGGACTAGAGTGTCTTTTCCTTTTATCAAATCCTATTTATAGAAAACAACACAGTTAAGCCACCGAAGCCAACACACAGGAGACCCGCAAGTTGTAGGGCCTAAACAAGACAATATAAATTATAATCGAACTAAGGTTGAAATCTGAATCTAAATCTGATTGAAAGTTCGAAATACCTCCAGATTCTGCACTAATGCATCAAAATCTAACGTCTCCAGTTCATTTCCGTCGTCTATACCATCACGGTAATCCTCCATGGCGATCACAGTGCATCCAATTACAGATGCAACCTTCTCCGCCAAGCTTGGAGTGCATCACCAACAACAAAAGCAACAAAATCGAACATGTTGATGAAACAGATGCTTAAATTGTTCCAGTAAGCAATATAAGATGCAAATTTCGGTCTGAACTCGAAGATCTGCTACCTTGTTTTACCCGAGCCACTAGGCCCACCAATGCCAACCGTAACAATGCCGTCCTTCTTCTCTCTGAGTTCTTGAATAGACTTCACCAACAGGTAATACCCATGATCGAAGGACTACATAACAAAAAAAAAAAAAGCAAATCCACGTTTCCACCGATGATTTTCCCGGAAAATTAAAAAAAAAAATCCGAATTGACAGAAACTGATGGTAGCGTACCACGTGGAGAGGAAGAGATTGAAGAATCGAAGAAGACGAAGAAGAAGTGGAAGGTTGTTGCGGGAAGAAATCTCGGCCTCCCTCCTGGAAAACTCTCTGAACAACCTCGTTGTCCATGTCTGAGCAGCCGAGACAAAGGGAGTCGGAGCGATGATCGGAATCGATATCCGATAAATCCGAGGAGACAGGGAGAAGATTGAGAGAGAAGTTGTCGGTCTGAAGATGCAAAAAGTCTCTAACCCGAATGATGAAAATCAGAAAAAGAAAAAGAAGGAATTAAAAAAAAAACGCCTGAATTCGGCTTTCCTCTTCTTTTTTCCCCCCCTTTGCTTGCAAGCATGAACTCTCTCCCGCTTGTTCTTTCTTCCCCGTCCGCCTCAACTCTCCCGTCATTTTTTTAAAAATCTCCGATTAAATCAAATTCAAATACCAAATACACTGAATTTGGTTTGATTTTTCAGGCACTTTGTTTTCTTTATTTTGATTGATATTAATTCGACCATGTATCAATAAATACGTTAAAACCATATAACATTTACCATCGATGGAATTCGTGTGTTTTGCAACCACATAAATACCGTTTTGTAATTAATTTTGTATTCTGTTTATTATGTTTTCACATTTTTTTTTCTTTTGAAGAAACTAAATTAAACAATGGGGCAACGAAAATAATTATAAAAAAAAAGACTAATAAAAATGGATATACGTCAAAGCCTTTCGTTAGAATAAAACGACGCCGTAAGCTAAAACTTACGGGCTAATAGCCCAATAACGCGGCCCATACAATAGGCGAAAAATGACGTATTTAATATTTTTTTTGTTAAAGACGTATTTAATATTTTACCTGCAAATAGGAATTCTATAATGTTTTGGCACTAATATAATCGTATTTTTGGATGAGAAGTATTGAGCCATTGACAATAATAAATACAATCAACTTATATAGATAACACATATATACAGTGGCGGACCCAGAAAGTTTTTTCAACGGGGACAACGAAACAATAATATATATATATATATAATAAAATTTTAATAAAAAATATCATCTAAAAAATGTTTAGCTTCAACAATTGAATTCTATGATTTCTTATTTTTAAAATATATTTATATAATTATATTTATAACTGTTTAAAATATATTTTTTGATAAAATAAACTAGACAATAACTCAAAAATTAAAAATTTAATGTATTATTGGTTGAATTTTTTTTAAGTAAATTATCGGTAGAACTTTTACTACTATATTAAGATATTATTACAAAAAAAAATTTAAAAGTTTATTTATTGTTTTCTTTACCAAATCAAATAAAATTAAATAAATATATAAATATATATAGATAAATTTATAAGTATAATAAATATATAAAAACAAATAAATAAAAAATATTAAAGATTATTTAAATTCATAGTTTTTATAAATATTTATTTTTAATTTTAACATTTTCATTTGATTATAATTGAATTGATAATATTTTTTTATTTGATTAAAAACAAAAGTAGAAATTTTGAAAATAGAAGATAACGAAAAAAAGGGGAAAAAAAATAAAATACAATTTTTTTATTTGATTTGTTAACTAACATCACAAAATACATTAAAAAATAAAAATAGTGGGGTCCATAATAAATTCCAATGGGGGCATTATTACATTTTTTTTAAAATTTTATTAAACTATATAACAAATGTTCTTAAAAGAAAAAAAACAGCCAGTGCCCCACGTAGATCCGCCTTTGTATATATATATATATATATATATGTGAGGGAGAACAAAATAAAATCATGCCTTTTGGATTTGGACATTGCGTAAGCAAAGATCTCTCGATCATATTCCGACATAGATGGAATATAATTATCCCGAGTACTATCGTATTTCTCCTCACCCGCCGGCCAATTATTTCATTATTATTATTATTATTATCATTATCATTATCATTATCATTCTTATCATCATTATTCGTCTTTTCATCGACACCAACCAACATTATTATTATTTATGAAGAAAAAATAAGAGACAGGCCTGTGATTAATCGTTATTAATTGCTTTACCAATCGCACTTGCTTTATAACAAATTATCCCAAATTCCAATTAATTATTATAATTTATTCACCGTGATTAATTGACGAGTCCTCACAATTATTGAGATCAATAAATTATATATATCGCCGATTTATTACGTAATTATTCGCGGTCCCTTTTTTTTTTAACTCGAGTGTTCGTGTCCGCGGCATGGGAGAAGAGAAATGATTACACCCCCCAAAAAAAAAAATCTTTTATACGATACGGATCAAGTGTCAGTCAGGAGAACCACAGGGCGCCACGTGGCAGTAAGACCATCGCTCATTCGTGGGCCGGGCCCATTTGAACGGAGGCCTCGTCGGCTGAAAACGACATCGTTTAAAAAGCTGTGCACAGGGGCAGAGGAGCCGCCGACGTAGGGAGAGTCTTTCTTATCCCCCTTTCCGTTCTTTCCTTCTTCGTCGCGCCTCTCTCTCCAAAGGCGGCGTTTGGGAGATGCAAAGGACCCCATGACTTCGTATTGATGATATTTCCCTGAAACTTGGGGGGGATAGCTTATTGAATCACCCAAAGCTGACTCTTTCTATTTCACGCGCTGTTGCTTTACTCATCACCTCTGTCTTTGTTTATATAAACTTGTGCCGTACACACACGCTACACGCTTTTCTTCCTTCTTTGCAGCTTCTTTTGGATTAGCTTTCTCTAGCTCGTGGGAGTTCAATAAACCATACAAGGTCTGTTTCTCCATGTTCACTTCTCGTTTTCTCTATCTGGGTTTCTAGATCTGTTCCTATTATGGTCGCAGTAGAAATTGACCAAGTATTGTTGAAATGGAATCCAGTAACGAGATGTTTCTGGGCCTTTCTCTCTTCTGGGTGTCTAGAATTTAAATCGAAGTCGTAATATTCCTGGGCTTGTGTTCTTCGATCTGTAAATGGGTATAGAAAGATTAGGCGTGTAAAGCGAATCTGACGAACTTGAAAAAATTCCTGGGAAATCGAATCCAGGAATTCGAGGTTTCTTGTTCTGTTCTATAGTTTTTTTATTAATATGCTTGAAGTACTGACATTTTTAGGTTTGTTTCTTTGATCTGTGAATATATCCAGAATGATTAGGTTTGTAAAGGATCTGAGAAATCTGATGTACAGATATAGAAATTGAACTAAGGAATGTGAAGTCTGTGTGTATATACATGTGCAATCCATGATTTTTATGCCAGACAAGCACTTCCCTTCGTCTTCTCTTCGTTGTTTTTCCTTGGTGGAATGTGAGCTTCTTCATCTTTTTTCCCGGAATCAATATGTTTTACGATTTTTTGTTTCTGACAGATAATCATGCTGGAGAAAGAATTTTTCACCGAGTATGGGGAAGCCAGTCAATATCAGGTTCAGGAAGTGGTCGGCAAAGGAAGCTATGGGGTTGTAGCCTCTGCCCTGTGCCCACACACTGGGGGAAAAGTGGCGATAAAGAAGATGACCAACGTCTTCGAACATGTATCAGATGCTATACGGATACTCAGAGAGATAAAGCTCCTCAGACTTCTCAAACACCCGGATATCGTGGAGATCAAACACATAATGCTCCCTCCTTGTCGGAAGGAATTCAAAGATATTTATGTAGTTTTTGAGTTGATGGAATCTGATCTTCATCACGTCCTTAAGGTAAATGACGACCTCACCCCTCAGCATCATCAATTCTTCTTGTACCAACTACTTCGTGGACTAAAATTCATGCACTCAGGTAAGGTTTCTTGTTTCCCTCTACTCTGCATTAGTTGTTCTAGAGTTTCTGTATCACTTTCACCCTTGATGAACTTAAAACTGGACAATGACATTGTGATCTCCTTTTGGTTCGGTTTGTTTTGTTTTGGGTATAGCTCATGTTTTCCATAGAGACCTGAAGCCCAAGAACATCCTTGCTAATGCTGACTGCAAACTCAAGATTTGCGATTTTGGACTAGCTCGGGTTTCTTTCACTGATTCCCCTTCAGCTGTTTTTTGGACTGTATGTATCTATCTCTTTTATATGCCGAGCCATGATTTTATAAGTTTTTGAAAGCTCTGATTTGATTATTGCAGAATGATATTAGTTGACAGATTATATATCTGTTCTTTATATGCTGTCTTACTTGGACAGTCTGTTATAACAGATTCCTGATTATTTTGTTAATCTTTCAAACAAGTAACTGGGTTACAAAGAGGTATGTATTTAGCCATTAGGCTCGAAACAATCGAATACTCGGCTGAGTGACCAATCTCATCGTGTTCTTTTGCAAGGACTATGTTGCTACGAGATGGTACCGTGCTCCCGAGCTGTGTGGTTGTTTCTATTCTAATGTAAGTCTGCAATTCACCCTGCTTTTGGCTGTATCATTTAATTCTTTGCATGATATGGAAGGGTTATGATATAATGCTAAAAAATCTACATTTATACTGACTGCCAGTATGAAACTATTCTACATTGCCGCCATTAATTGCTACTACCAGCTGCAAACACTAAAAAGTTTCATTATTCTTCTCAATGTTTCATGCAGTACACACCGGCTATTGACATATGGAGCGTTGGCTGCATATTTGCGGAAATGCTTACTGGAAAACCCTTGTTTCCCGGCAAGAACGTTGTGCACCAGCTAGAACTTGTCACTGATCTGCTTGGCACTCCGTCGCCGGAAACTATAGCAAGGGTTTGTTCTTTTTCGATTTTTGTGTCCGAAAACTAACCCGCGAAGCTGAAGCTTCTCTACCCAGATAAAATTGCTTGGATACAAGTTTTCTTGGCTTTCTCTGTGTCATGGTTCTTTATAATTATAATGTAGATTCGGAATGAGAAGGCTAGAAAATATTTAAGTAACATGAGGCGAAAGGAACGTGTTCCTTTCTCCCAAAAATTCCCCAATGCCGATCCTGTGGCTCTGGGTTTGCTTCAGCGTTTGATCGCATTTGACCCCAAGGACCGTCCCTCTGCCGAAGAGGTAAGCAAAAGGGCCCGAACTCCGGAATTTTTTCTTTCCTTTTTGGTAGATCCTCGGTACTTTTTTTGTGCTTGAACAGAATTGTAGCATCAGATTTGTGTTAACTAATTCGTTCTCAGATGTTGGTTTTTGTGTGAAATACCTTTAATAAGGCTAAAGTTTGACAAAAGCGGTTGAGTTACACTTTCTGTATATTCATTTCTCAAATCTTGATGGCATAACATGGATTATTCTGTGGTTAAGTGAGCTAGGTGCATATTCATGTTGTGATTCTTGAGTTTTTATATCTATATGATTAGCTCCGGTTCTATTTGATCTTCAGGCAATGTTTGGGTTAATATGTGTAATTATGTCTTACATACCTTCAGATAAGATTAAAGCTTAGCAAAACAATAAAATTAACGATGATATTCTGCCTTTTGTAGGCATTGGCTGACCCATATTTTCAAGGGTTGGCAAACGTGGAGTATGAACCTTCAAGGCACCCGATCTCTAAGCTTGAATTTGAGTTTGAAAGGAGGAAATTGACCAGGGAAGACGTGAGAGAGCTCATGTACAGAGAGGTAACACTGCTCATGTCTCCTCTTCTTCTTCTTCTTCTTTCTCCAATAGCCCTACTCTCTTACGTGGGTTGTGAATTTTGGCCATTTTGCGTCGGTTATGAGCTGTAAATTGGGGGAAAACTGGACCAATGATAAATATGGAATGAGAAAAATGGCGGGTATGGACTATGGCCAACAAAAGTTGGTAAATTTTGGATCTCGGAATTTAGACAAAACATCGAAAGCCAAATGCTGTGTTTCACTCTTGTGGAGGGTTTTTTGTTCAATTCTGCAAACATAAACGCCAATCTCATATTCTTACACTCTTATGTGAAACTGGACAACAGATATTGGAGTATCATCCACAGATGCTGCAAGAGTACCTACAAGGAGAAGAGAACAACAACTCTCATTTTCTATATCCAAGGTCTTCCATTCACATTTATACTGTGAATACAGTATACACCAAATTGTAGCCCAAGTGGTTTATGCCCTCTTTCATTCTTCACAAATATTTGGTTTTCTCTTTCAAGCGTTCTTGACATGCATCTGTTTATTTGTGATGACCGCCAGTGGAGTTGACCAGTTCAAACAACAATTTGCCCGTCTCGAAGAGCATGACGATGAGAATGAAGGGAACTCCCCACCAATGCAGAGAAAGTACACCTCACTCCCGAGGTGAGTGATTCGATCCACCACGTTTAAGAATCTTTTAGGAATAAGAACTTAGTCTTGTCGCAACTGATTCACGAGATCCCACGCAAAAATACATTGCTTACAAGGATCACGCGACTCTCGGACCTTCAGCTCAGTGTCCTTCCACCTTTAGGTTCTGTTATCATGTTAGAATTGGTGAGAAAGGGCAGCTGACTGGAGGGATTCTCTATAATGGGTTTATATCATTAGAATTCATTGCATCAAGGAGGATATGGCATTAGGTTTTAAGTTGGTTGTCACCTAACACAAACCTCGTTCTTTATCCGGGTTTATGACCGATTTAACATGAGCGAACTCAATACTTTTGCGGATTTAGGATTCTCTGTAATGGGTGATAACATAAAATTCAGAGAACCACGAAAACGCTCTTATATATATATATGTGTGTGTGTGTGTGTGTGTATATACCCTTTGATAGTATAATGGATTTGGGTTGAACTTGATGCAGAGAAAGAGTCTGCTCATCATCAGAAGACGAGGGCGTAGATCCAATCCCACGAAACGAGAGGCTCAGCTCTTCTTCTTCTTCAAAGACTCCGAAAGCAAATCATGCAAAGCGCGCGGCCTGTCTCCTCAGAAGCGATAGCATCTGTGATTCCAGATGTGTCGGCGCTGCTGTCGCCGCCAAAGACTGCGATCTTCTCGTCAGTTGATCATTTTCATTTTCCTGTTTATTGGGTTCTTGAGCTGCCAGTGAACTTTGGATCGGAGTCATCATCATGTAATGCTGAATTACGTAAAGATGATTTGGTAAGACATTCATCATCATGATCAATGGTTGACAATAGCCAGAGAAGGAGAACTATTCAATGCTGAACCATGTGGCCTTTATATTATTATTTAGTGCGCTTTTATGTTTTCACAGTTTTCGTTGATATCATCATTAATCATATTTGTTGGCTCATAGAAACCTGTCTATATTTACTCATACGCATCAAAATTCATATCTAAGTTTTTGACAAATCGCAGGCATGCGGTATTCTTTAGTGTAGGGGTGGGCGTTTCGGGTTTCGGTTCGGTATTCAAGCGGTTCGGTTCGGGAACGGTATTTTCGGTTTTATAAAAAGTGTACCAAACTAGAACCGAATGTTAAACGGTTCGGTTCGGTTCGGTTTTAGTATCGGTTCGGTTCGGAAAGGTACCATTATATGAATACCAAATAAGCACCCAACTATAATATTTACACATATATTAGTGGAATATTCGAATTTTGGTTCGGTATTCATACGGTTCGGTTCGGGAACGGTTCATTCGGTTCCATAAAAAGTGTATCAAATTAGAACCAAACGTTATTCGGTTCGGTTCGGTATGGTTCGGTTTCGGGACGGATCGGGTCGGTACTAAATTCTCGAACCGAAGTGCCCACCCCTACTTTAGTGCGCTTTCTGAGTACTGTTTCTTTGATTTATCTAAACTCTGCTCCACCACAAAAAAAGCTACTTCCACACTAGCAATAATGGAGGATTGTACGGTCTTCTTCTTACTCGCTACTCTCCTCTCCCTCCTCCGCTTCGTCACCGTCTCCGCCGCCTCCCCTACGCCGCCTCTGTTCCCCGACGAGGCCCTTCCCACAAAATCCGGCTACCTTCCGGTGAAACCCGCCGCCGGATCCTCCATGTTCTACGCCTTCTACGAAGCTCAGACACCCACTTCTCCGATTCCCCAGACCCCTCTTCTTGTCTGGCTCCAAGGTGGTCCTGGTTGCTCCTCCATGATCGGCAATTTCTACGAGCTCGGCCCATGGCGCGTCACCACACGCGCCACCGAGCTCGAGCGCAACCCCGGCGCGTGGAACCGCCTCTTCGGCCTCCTTTTCGTTGATAACCCGATCGGAGTCGGGTTCAGCTTCGCCGCCTCTAAAGACGACATACCCAGAAACCAGAGGCAGATGGCCGAACATTTATACGCTGCGATCGTAGAGTTCATCGAGCAAAACCCGGGTTTTCAAAACCGTCCGGTTTACATAACCGGCGAGAGCTACGCCGGGAAATACGTGCCGGCTATTGGGTACTATATCTTGAAGGAGAGACCCGACGGGCCGGTAAATCTGAAGGGATTGGCGATCGGAAACGGGTTGACCGATCCGGTGCCCCAAGTCCGGACCTTTGCGGTCAACGCGTACTACATGGGATTGGTCAACGCGAAACAGAGGGAAGAACTGGAGAGAGCTCAGGAGAGAGCCGTGGAGCTCGTGAAGGTCGGGAAATGGAGCGAAGCAACCGACGCGAGAAACAAAGTGCTGAGATTACTACAGAACATGACCGGTTTAGCCACTCTGTACAACTTCGGTCGGAGAGTACCGTACAGGTCGGACCTGGTGGAGGAGCTTCTGAATCAGGTAGAGGCCAAGAGGGCCATAGGGGCGGATGAATCGGTGCGTTTCGAGGAGTGCAGCGATGACGTGGAAGAGGCCATGCACGGGGACGTGATGAAGAGCGCGAGGAAGATGGTGGAGTACGCGCTGGAGAGGACGAAGGTGATGCTGTACCAGGGGATGCTAGACCTGAGAGACGGCGTCGTTTCGACGGAAGAGTGGATGAAGACGATGGCGTGGCGAGGGATGGGTGGGTTCACGGCGGCGGAGAGGCACGTGTGGAGGGACGGGCGAGGTGGACGCGCCGGTTATGTCCAAAGGTGGGGGAATCTGTGCCACGTGGCGGTTGCCGAAGCCGGACATTTCGTTCCGACAGATCAGGGGGTGAACTCGAGGGAGATGATTGAGAGTTGGGTTCTGGAGAAAGGGTTGTTTGGCGGCGGAGAATCAACTCCCGGTTTCAGGGGTTGTTTGTGAGTGTTGAAACTTGTGATTCCAATCTGAATAAGATTTGTGGTTTTCAATGGAATCATATTATTCCGAGACATATATTATAAAGTATAAAGTTTTTTTTATAATGTGTATAATGAACGGGAAAAAAATGTGAATACGGATTTTGGTTGAAATCGCTGGAGAATGATCATCCTATACAAGACCAAATTATGGAAAGAGTGTGAGTGTTGAAACTTGTGATTCCAATCTGAATAAGATTTGTGGTTTTCAATGGAATCATATTATTCCGAGACATATATTATAAAGTATAAAGTTTTTTTTATAATGTGTATAATGAACGGGAAAAAAATGTGAATACGGATTTTGGTTGAAATCGCTGGAGAATGATCATCCTATACAAGACCAAATTATGGAAAGAGTTCTCTAGCTTCCCTACAAATACTGCATCAGTTTGGCAAACCTCCAATACCAAGAGCTGTAGAGAGGTTCGTTCCTGTTTTATTTTTGTTTAAAAAAATACAAGGAAATTAAAGGAAATTATATTAGCCTATTAGGGTTTTTTTTCTAATACGTTTTCCGATATATATATACATACATATTCCTCCATTGATCGATTAAGGTACGTGCTTCTGATGCCTAGTTTCTAAGTAATTGCTCTTACAATCGCCGCAGACGAGAGGGGAAAACGAAAAGGGCGCTAAGAATGGAGTTGTCGATTGATTTAGGATACGTGAGAATGTACAAGTGGAAGGCACCTCTCTCACAAGCAACTGATGTTTTACTCATTGTCGTCGTACTGATTGGCACCTTCACAACATGGCGTTTTTCTTTGAGTAGATCCAACCGCTTGTCGGTCTTCATCCGAGAAGTTTTCCCATTGTTTCCCGCTCCTTGGAGACAATTAGATCAGGTGGCGGATAAGATTGTCGAATACATCGACTGCAATTTCTCGTTCCGAGACCTGCGAGCTGTGGCTCCCGCCCCTCCCGGCCTTGTGATCGTCATCGGCGTGACGATGAATGGAGCGACTTGGGACATCAGCAGCGAGCTGATATTACGTAGTACCAAACGGCTATACTGCGCGGCCATGACGGATGACGAAGGGCACGAGCTGGTGCCGATACTCCCTCCTACTGCTGAGATAACTGTCCGAAACGGCGACGAATGCTGCTTGATTTGTAAACAAGAGGAAGAGATCAATGCGGTGGTCAGGACGATCTGCAACCATGTCTTCCATATCACGTGCATCGCTCGTTCTCTAGCACAACGAAACTCCTGTCCTGTCTGCTCCACCGATTTTCCCACGCCTATCGATGCGCGAATTCTATTCGTTTAGATGGATTGAGATACATATTTTTATTTTTTATTTTTTATGTATCTTGATATTTTTCTCATACCTTATTTTTAAAAAAAATTAAAATATTAAAATAAAAATAATTCATCACCTTTTTACTTTTCATCCATGTGTATATATATATACGTGTATATATATATATATGTGTGTGTTGGATCCTTCATCAATTACAAGATTGGTTTTACCTCGAGAACACTTCATCAATTAGCTTTTGAATGTTATTCCCTCTATCGAAACTTTTGTTTCCTACTTACCATAGGTTTTCTGTAGTATTGTGTACGATTGTCGTTTTGTAAATTAATTATATGTTATTGTATATAATATGATTCACATTTTCATCCAAAAAAAACTTTTAAAAATAGCAAGATGAGTTTAATTTTATGATACTTTAAGAAAAGATAATGGTCACAAACAATATAATGGCAATCTTGTAATTAGAACAAAGACTAAGGCGAACAATAATACGTGCGTTGCACTTTTGTCTACTTAATTCACGTTGAAAATCTCGTGCTGTGAAACGTTTTCTTGATCAGTCAACAGATCATATCTTGTGATCGATGTGATGAATGTCCTACTCCTCAAACCGTGCATATTAACCCGAATTAATATATAGTTACATATATGATGAAATTTACATTATTATTCATATTATGAGGGGATGCGTTACCATATGAAACTTCATTTTATTTGACATGCGTTCATGACCTAATTATTGATCCACATATATAGCTGTTTTTATTTTATTTTGAAAAAACTTGGGCTTTATGAGATATATAGAACGGTTCTTGCACTCCCTTGACCAGAGCCAAAGTCTCGCTGCATTTATGGTCAATTCATTTTGGAAATTAGTAATTACAAACAGAAAAAGTTAAATAAAGTGTATATACACACATATATGTACACGCAATTAAAAATTAAAAAAAAAACTGATAGATAAGTTTTATTAGTCGACCTTTTTTTTTTCTCGGTGCGATGTCAATAAAAAAAATTTCCTATATAAGGATCCTTTTGTACATATATTGAGAATATTTTTATTCTCAACAAATATTTCAAACGAGAAAATAAATGCATAATTACTTTCACTTATATATAATGTTACGAATGCGCGTGTGTATGTGTATTTATAGATATAAACCGGTCATCGGCACAAAAACATTTTCTTATTATTATTCCGTCGACACGGTTCCAAGTCTGTCTCTTCATCTTTTGAGTCACCATTGATTATTATTATTAGTCTTCTCTGAAAACTTTACCTTCTTCTTCTGAAGTAACCCTAATGGCGATTTTACCGGAAAACTCTTCGAACTTGGGCCTCACCATATACGTTTCCGGTTTTTCTTCCTCGCCTCATCCAGGTAAGCTATATATATATATATATATATAAAGCATTTGTATCTTCCTTTATATCTGCATTACGTATGAGGCTTGTGACCATTAGCATGTATATAACGAGAATCGTTATATACATGCTAATAGTGATTCTATGATATATATGTGAATTGACATCAAGAGAATAAATAATGAAGAATTTAACCCATAATACTTTAACGGAGAAATATCTACATTTTCGTGTGACTAAAATTAAAAACTCCCAAAGAATTTTATAAGAATCGTCACTAAAAACCAATAGGGTATTAATTAAATGTTTTCTAGATTGTATGGTGCAAATTACAGAAGAAACGTGTTAATTAGGAGTATGTACTAATTAAAAGTTTTATTTATGGTTCGTGAATAGCATAAGTTCTTATACGCCTGGTTCTTTTATTTTGACATTCTACAATAAGACAAGATTTTCACCTTCTTTTTTTTCGTCAACTCGTATCTTTTTAAAAACTGAAACATGCATTTTTTTTTTATTCTTATGTTTACTTTTGAGACATATATATATATATATATATATATATATATCGCATGTAGAATGTGAGTTTTTTTATTATTATTATCAAAGATTGCACAACCAGGCGAAATAAAACTGAAACTATGAAAGGTTCAGATGGTGGAAGTGGCGGGGGGGGGGG